GAAGAGACACTTAATAGGAACAGAGAACAGAAAGAGACAGGCAAAAGGGCATTAACGCAAGGCTCCTGCTGTTGCTACTGCTGCTGCTGCTGCTGCTGCTGCTGCTGCTGCTCACCATAGGTGACTGTCTTGGCCATACTTCGCAGTTCCTTAGTAACTTTTTCAGGGGGACAGTTGAAGAGACGAGAGGCAGTTAGTTTAAAAGTATCGTGGGGGCGCTCAGGTGTCTCCTTATTGTCTCCTTTTGCTGCTGTCTCCTTGCTGTCTCTTCTTCCTACTCCTAGGTCATATAGCAGCTGCGGATCGTTTGATAGGTACGCTAAGATGTGCAGCTCCATCTGTGAATAATCAATGGAGACAAACCGCCACGGTGACCCCACAGACGATCCCGATCCCGATCCCGATCCCGATCCCACCACCAGGGTCTCCGCCCCTTTAGGGGCGCTTAAAGGAGACACTACCAGGTCCCCTTCAGAGCTGGGGGGTCCTGAGGAGACAGTCGGAGATAAGGAAGAGAGACTGCTGCTAAGGAGGTCCTTGCTGCAGCACCCATAGGCATCTGGTGTCTTGTAAGGAGTAACAGACGAGGGGACAAAGGCCCTCCTGCGGAGACAGCAGCAGCAGCAGCAGCAGCAGCAGCAGCAAACACCTGCCTCCAAAACTACGCGCGCCCTCAAGATTAAAAAGGAAATAAAGAGACACCTCACAAACCTCCCCCAGAGGGACAACTGTAACAGCAAACTGAAACAGTGGGGCTGGTCGTACAGCAGCAGCAGCAGGTGCAGCAGCAGCAGCAGCAAGTGCAGCAACAGTAGCAGCAGCAGGTGCAGCCACAGCAGCAGCTATTCCAGATGCAGCAACAGCAGCATGAGTATAGGAGCAGCAGCAGGCACACCAGCAGCATCAGTAGGCGCAGCAGCAGCAGGTGCAGCAGCAGCAGGTGCAGCAGCAACAGGTGCAGCAGCAGCAGGGATAGCTTGAAGGCAGCAGCAAGTGATGCTGTGGGGTGTCTGTACACCCACCGAATCCACCTCCACTCCTCCTGATGATTTGGGATATTCTGCAGGTTTGGGTTGCGGCAGGCTAAACGCCCTGTTGCTGCTCCTGTGCAACAACGCAGCAAGGGGTGTCTCCTCAAGGAGACAGTTGGAGACAGAGAGAGACGGACGGAGACAGCCGCAGCACAGGGTGTCTCTTCAAGGAGACAGTTAGAGACAGAGAGAGACAGAGGGAGGCAGCCGCGGCAAGGGGTGTCTTCTGGAGGAGACAATTGGAGACAGTCGGAGACAGTTCAAGCATAGGGTGTCTCCTTGAGGAGACAGTTAGAGACAGAGAGAGACAGTTAGAGACAGCCGCAGCAAGGGGTGTCTTCTTGAGGAGACAATTGGAGACAGTCGGAGACAGTTCAAGCAGAGGCTGTCTCCTTGAGGAGACAGTTAGAGACAGAGAGAGACAGTTAGAGACAGAGGGAGACAGCCACAGCACAGGGTGTCTCTTCAAAGAAAGACAGTAAAAGATAACACTTAGAGACAGAGACAGCTGG